TCTGCCAGCAGCGAATCAATTTTTGAAAAATAAGTAATAAATTTTACAGTTGAACGTTTAACATCATTATTGTGGCGAAAATCCGGTGGTCTTACTCGAAGTATGTAGGAAATAATGAAGCCGTATCCGAGAACTTAAAATAACTTATTATAGATTATTTTTCCGTATTTAGCGAAAATCGTTACATTATTATAAATTTTTTGTAGCATACGTTCCTGGGCGAAAAATACATGCATAAACATATATTTACGCCAGCTGTAATTCGACCAGTTCTCTCCTGCTATATTTTAATTTATTATAAATTCTATGGTGCCCTCTAGCTGTGATAAGAAAAAAACGCGACAAGCTCAGTAAAGACTTTCACCTTCTCATTTTTTAACTTTCAGTATTCTGGTGCTTCATATCTAGAAATAAAAATGGTTTTACTACAGTGGCCGCAAAATCTTTAGCAATGACTCAAACCTAATGGGCTCACCAATCAGAGAACTTAAAAGAAGTTCTAAGTTCTCTGCCAATGTACTCACAATTCCAGATAACACTGACACATATTTTAAGTTCTCTGCATAAGCAAATTCATTCATTATTTTAAGCTCTCTGCAAATTGTTGTGTTTGGCTCTCTCATCTGAGTGCACGAGTAGAACGCCTTTTTTAAGTTTTCTTCTTCTTTGTAAGGAGTTTTGGCATAAACAAACAAACAAATGTGATTGTAATATTGCACGGTTATTTTATCTACACTGCTGAGAGCCGCGAAATGTTGCCAGCTGCCAGTATGTTTGCACACTTTTGAACAAATTCATAATTTTCGTCAACGAATTTCATAATTTATTTGCTTCAATCTAAACACAAGGCAAGTATACATGATCTATATAGTAACAAATAATTCCTTACGCATTTAGTTTTCATTTCTTTTGAAAGATAAAACTACGCATTATCTTGGATTATTTAATATTAGTTTAAAAAACCTATATTGGCAACCTTGTATAGCAACGAGAAATGAGCCGAGAAGGTTTTACGGAAAAAATCAAAACTTAGTTGGTTTCTGCGGAACAACCGTCACTAACGGTATACGCAAGCGGTGACAACTTTGTGTTTACATGGCACTCTCATAAGATAGGTTACTATGGACGGCTAGTACGCGCGTTAGGTAGTTGCAGCAATATGCAATCATACGCAAATAAACAAATACATCAGCTGTTTTCAAAATATACAGGGTATAAATATTCATGCCGAAAATTCACAAGCTGTGCTTATAATACATTGTCGATTAATTTATTTAATTTTTAATTGTTCTTTTCAATTCTTTACTTAGGGGCAATCTATTCAGAAATGGAGAAAGTAATATCGGAGAATGCAATATACGAGTACGTTCGTGATAAGAAGGCAGTAGCAACTATAAAAATATTTAACAAAATTTGGAATTGCAATTTTAGTAAGATTATAATAACATTCTGATTCGAACAGTCAGTTATTATTAGATGCCTTTCAATTTCAACGGAGCTGCCAATATTTTATGAGGGATACGCTTTTAGAGCCGAGTCAGTACCGGACAACAAAAAAAAAACAATAAAAAAGAAAAATTCTTGTAGACTGCTTAAAATACTACGCTAATTTTTCTAAAATGAATTGATTGTTGTACTTATTTTTATTCTTTTTCTATGCAATAGAAACAACGTACATATGTATGACCGCTTAGTGCACACATCTATTAACTCCCCATTTTGAAAAGTCTCCAATTGAAGTGTCAGAGCCTATGGTATAGTCATAACTTTTTATATTTATAATAACTTTCCTGAATAATAAAGACCGTTGAATGACAATTTTTTTTTAGTCTTTGGATACTATGTAATTTATTTCAGAAGCCATTTCGATTACCTCCATATTCTTCCCTCTTCGCAGGAGGCTTCATAGCTATCACGGAAATCTCAACTAAATCAATTGACATGAAATTTTTGGTAAGTGGACACAGCTATTTGCCCATTGACTCAGATTTTGCCATTAGTGAGTGCGAAAACATGTAACCATGATTTTTTATCAGCAAAACCTTTAGAACAGTCTATCATTAACAGAAAAGCAACCGCCACACGGTTTCCAGTAAATTTACTTAAACTACCGTGGATAAGGTTAGAAAATCCCAAACCTTATCTCATACAATTCATATGTGACTATAATGAAGATGCAGAATTTCAAGCGATTAATATAGAAAATGTATGTCGGGTAGACCGCAAAGTTTGAGAAACATAGAACAGCCTTTATTATGTCCTAAAGGTAAAACTATGACAAGGGAAGAAATGGAGAGACATGATTGACCTGCTAAGATTCGTTCCTCCTGTTAAACGCGATTACTATAAGAGCTTGTCAAAAAACCGGGATGGCGGTTCCTCGCATACAGCTGATGAAGACGACATTATTTATAATATTGCTGAATCCTCCCAAACAATAATGCTGCTAACATAAAGCTGCTTTGAATTAATTACAAAAAATACATAATATTATAACCGAACTGCCCATATTAAGTTTTATTGAAAAGCTGTAATCAAATGTATAATAACTAACTTTTCTGTAATAACTAAATTAACTTTATTATTTTTTCAGTTCACAAATCGATTAATTCCACCAGTCACATAAAGGCTGTAACATTATTCACGATTGTTTTGTTGGCTATTCTTTCTTATTAATTTTATATACCGTTAGATGAAAGCTATATCTTCAATTACGGATTCTACATTATATATTTGAATTAATATTATCAGCGGATCATCATCGAGTTGATTTATTTTGTTGTCATTATTTTGTGTTCGTTTGTGCGTCAAGAATGGCGGCAATGTACAAGAGAGTAAAGAGAGCATGTTTTAAGCCCGGGATACGCGGGCAACTTAGTTGCAGACATAAGTTTCAAACTTGTTCAGTGTTGCGGCTAAAAATTCCGTAATTTGGTCACACACATCTAAGTTTGAAAACCCGCAAGGAGGAAGAGTCAGTTATTTGTGTTGCGGAATATTAAGATTCATGTAACCTGGGTCCGATTCTGTTCTTGTTGTTTATTAATGATTTGTCTTCAGTTTTAAAATATTCATCAATTTTATTTTAACAAGACAGTTTAGACCGGTGAGTAACGGTTGGGCTTACTATTAGAAACAGTTGAGATATTACAGCTCAAGTGCTCAACATGCCCATACACACTGTAACATAGTTGCCAACATGCAACAAAAATCAAAAAAATTGGATTTTAGCGTAACTTCAACCGAAATCTAATGGAAAACGTGCCTATGCACGGGCAACTGATAGGAAACCCTTTGAACGTGCTGAAGCCATTCCTGAGATTTCCTGTTTAAATGATCGGAAGTTTTCTTATAGGGTACGTATGTATGTATTATACGTTTAAGGTTTATACAAAATTAAATAATTTACACATATTTTCACAAATTTTCATTATAAAAAAATCACAAATACACATTTTCTTAATTTATGTACTGCCTTTTATCACAGTGCTACAGTGATTCTGAACTGTTGATGTCGAGTAATGAAACCACGATTGATAATTTGTTTATGGCGTAAGGTCCATTGCATCTGACTAAGAAAATAAACCTTGTGTTAAATTCGGCATCTCAATTGGTTCTTATCGAAAGGCGGGCTTATCGCGGGCGAGGTACATCAGTTATTGGCCATACTGCACCATCTTGTTAGAACGACTACTGTACCGTTCCATTGTATATCCGGTGCTCTAAGCTTACTTACACACGTAGATTGCAGCCTCATTTCTACTCTATTTCGCTTCTAGTTGAGCTCACTATCTAAGGTTGGCTATAATGTGGAGAAAAATGTGTCAGAACTTAAAACAATAAGAATTTAACGGCTGTCGTTTTCTCTTTACCTTACCTTTGTCGTCTTTTCAATGCCGATCATATCAACATTAACTTTATTGTAGAGGTCAACCAGCTGGGATATGGCGCCCCAACTTTGATAGGAACGGTCACTCTGGGTTCGATAAGTCGCTATAGTAGTCATTATTAAAGTAGGCGCATTGTATGGCTTTCTCAACTTCCTCAGCTTTTGGCTTTTTCAAAAGAAAATTGATATATCCCTATTGAGCTATTTGGCTATTTTTCTTTGGATTGCCACATTTATAAAAACTCTTAAGAAGCTGCATAAAAGAGGTATTTCTCTTTCACCGTTTAGGAGTTTTGGTCCAGCTTCTCCCCCGATGATGTGATGTGGGTCTTCATGTTATTCCTAAAATAAAGTCATTTTCTACTGTGAATGAAATCTTAAATACATACATACATACATACTTAAGTACTTTCTTTAAGGTCAATGAGCTGTAAATTTGCACAATGTTATAGATATTTTTATAGATGGGCCAACTCGGGCAACTGCTAGCACTTGAAAACATGGCGACCGAAACATTTATACCGATGTACGGAAAACCTTTGTAAAAATAGAAAAAATCAATTTTAAGTAGCAGCAGCAGCGCATGAACAGAAAATTGTGCGACGGCGTCGACGCTAACGCGAACCGCGGACAACATACACGTATGTGTGTATGTAGTGCATTGTGTTGGCGACAGTGAAAGCAGCCGACGGCAGACAGGAGCTAGTTGCCAACATAGCACATAGAGTATGATGATAACATACAATACAGAGAGCAGTGAAGATTCTTGAATGGGCAGAAGTTTCGAAAACGGTAAATAAAGCTTTTAGGGCTGTTTCCGGAGCAACGAAATCAAAATGCCGAAACGTGTGTGTAAACTCAGCAACACACTTGTGGACATCGCATGTATATCACCCGCTCTCCTCGCTCGTAAACACTTGTAGGTATTTTGTATGATGACTGAATCGGTGAATGGCAGTCGTAAAGCCGAATACTTGCGCTCTTGAACGAGAGGGTGGTGAGTTTCTACGATGTAGAAAAGCTTTTTTTGTTAGGAAGCTTCCGAATTTGCCTAACAAGAGACGAACCATTCCATGCAACTACGAATTTTTCAGTTTCGGTTAGATGCGCGCAGAAAAATACAGAGAAATACAGCGCAGAGTATATTTCTTCCCAAAAGACGCGTGTGAAAAATTGATAAATTCAGTGAAAACCTAAAGAAAATGTTAAATAAATGGCAGGATTTACTAAAAGGGAAGATAATCACAATAGTGAATACAACTTGTGAATAATAAAGTTGAAAATATTGTTTAAAAAATATCAAAAAGAAGGCAAATTATGATAAAATTATCCAGCGCTCGGAGATATCGAATGTGAGAGTGTGTATACATATGTGTTCTCGTGTATATGTACGTGTGTATGTTTGTACATATATGGATATAGGTATATACATATATCCAGAGTAAAAGCAAATGAAGAAGAAGCTCTAAGGGTGCTTTTAAGTAGCAATATTAGAGCCGAAAGGAAGAAGCGAAAGCCAATTCGCTTCCTAACTCAACGAAAGCAGGAGCTGCAGGAAAAAAGGACTGGCATCTATCAAAAAGGACAACGGAAGTAATGGTGGACAAGCGCACGGAAGAGTCGAATATCTCTGGAATCGGGTATTTCTTAAAAGGAAGCTAAAAATTTTGTACAAAGCGAGAGGAGAAAATTGATGAAAATTAAATTGCCTGCGACGAGTACCATTAAATCTAGACAAAGAGTTTATCCGACCAACTAGCAGCCTTCTATTCATAATATGACTGACTGATTGTTGACTGGCCCACCGTTAGCTTCATTAACTTTTGCTTCAAAAATCGACGCGCCCTGCTTTTGTCGCAAATATGTACAATTGATTCCATCACTTCAATCTTCTTGCTACTACCAACACTCCATTCCACTACATAGCATTTACAAAACACTTTTTGATATTGTTGTTGCTAATTGGGTGTCGACGAGGACATTCCTTTACGCCTAACGAAAGGTTTCGTTCTCTCTAAACCAACTGAGTGATATCCTGTAGGAATTGGGCTAACCTGCACATAGCACCATGAAGGAACGTGCAATAAATGTCAAATATGTATATTCATTGTTAGCACCCAGGTGTTGAATTTTCCATACGCCAACGCTAAAATAATTAATTGTGTGATATGAAAATAAATAAGAACAGCAACAACAGCTACAACAGCTACAACAAGCAAAGCAGAATAAAAACAAAGGCTATAAAGGCAATCAAAGCAGCAGCGTATGAGTAAAAACAACGGTTTATGTGCGATATATCGGCGCAATAACCGAAAAACGGCAAGAGTAAAGTGATTTTCTATATTTATGTTGAGTAGTAATTTTGAAATCGGTTAAAAAGCATGACAATTAGAACATTGAAATTAAAACGATATCGAGCGCTAATAGATCGACATCGGCGACTATCTACACAAGCGTACATACACGTACATGTGTGCGCATAACTCTTAAATCTTAATAGAAAGCTGGACGAGCCCGTAAAACCGCCCTTTCCGCGGAGGAAAATAAAAACAAAGACAACCACCACCACTACAAATACCATACAGTCGCACTGGAAGAAAAGAGGCCGCGCCGAGAGCACGATATCAGCTGTCGCTCAAGTATGTGTCACGCTCGTAAGCACATTACACTTTATTCTATATATCCACAAGTAGATACATACGTGTACATGCATAGGTGTGTATGTAGCACATCTCTATTTATGTTAACACATGTGTATATGCATAATTTTGTTAGAACGTTTACGTATGTATCATTTGTGAATACCAATACATATAAATAGGTGTGTGTTGTTTATGCCATTAAGGCCTCCTCTCCCCATTTCCAATTTGTTTTGATTACTTGAATGCATATATATATATATATATATATGTATCCAAGCACGTAGCACGTATACATATATGTATGTATGTTTGTAAATAAATTGTTTAAAATATTTTTCACCCAGCTGTATACACAGGGTGTATTGAATATGAGCTACTAACTAACGGTTGTTTCTAAAATATGGAACGTGTGTAGACAATATTTATATATATACGTACATATGTATGTATATATAATAAGTGTATTATATAATATGTGCAGTTATATTCAAAAAGCCAAAAAGCCGAAAAGAGTTTAGCCACTCCTGTTTCTCTCTTCCCCCATACGTCTGTCCGTTTATACTTCCGTGAAAGGGGTCCTTCAAAAAGGACCACGCAATATCTCGCATACACAGCGCTAGAGGAACAAATATTGCCTATGTTTCATACATCATACAACTTTATCAAAAATGTACATAATAAGGCTTACCCTACACACAACGGACTTAAAAACAGCAACATAAGAAATGCCGGGTACTCTCAGGTCCGTCTCTACCTGCCTTATCCAATGGACCTTAGGTATTCCGCTTCCTACGCTTCAACCAGCGGATACTGCATCGAAAACTTTCAAAGATGAAGTATTCTTATCCATCCGAGCCAAATGATCTACCCAGCGTAGCCGCTGTTTCTTGATTCTCAGAACTACTCGTATGTCAGTGTCGCCGTATATTTTCTACAGCTCATCATTCAATCGGCCGCTGACGACTTATAGAGTTTGGGGGAGTTTATTCGTCGAGAGAGGACTTTACTTTTCAATTGCCTAGTCAGTCCGAAGTAGCACCTGTTGGCAAGAGCGATTCTGCGTTGGATTTCAACGCTGGCATTATTTTTGGTGTTGACTGGTTCCAAGATAGACGAAATTTATGACTGTCAATAGTGACGCGATATCCGTGTCGCGAATGTGATGATTATATTTTTTTTGTTTTTGGTAACGGAAGGAATTTCGTCTTCTCCTCGTTCACTACCATACCCACTTCCCCCATCACCAGGTTTATTTTAGACATCAGCCGAAAGAGCGAGATGAACTTGGATTTTACATATGTATATATATTAATATGGCGGCTGCGGATTCGAAAGGCTCGAGGTTCAAATCCTGGTATCGTACCAGCATCCAAAAAGTTATAGAAAAATATTTTAAATGAAAAATCAAGTTAAATTTTTTAATTGTCACTAATTATACGAGTATATGTATGCTGTACCCTGCAACGCTTCGCTGATCGCACAAACTCATCTTTTTCAAATAACTTTATTCACTCAATACTTGGGGCATACGACATTATTGGGTTTACCATTGACATTGCTCCACTTCCCGTAGAGAGAGAGGAATAGCCCGACTTTTTGAATAGGCAAGTCGCCGGTCCACTTCCCCGAAAGAAAGGTAGTCTTCCTAGCAACGTAAATAAAAACTTCCTATGTACCGAATTGTAAGCAAATCGAACCATAAATAAGATTTTGTCGAATAGATCAGTCCCTGGTACACTCCTAGATATTATAAAAACTTGTTACAAACAGAAATAAGAGTTTTTTCTAATAGGTCAGTTCCCGGTCCAATTGTAAACCTTTCCAGGTATCATAGAAATAATCAGGTGAAATTTCAAGTCATTCGGTCGGTAACTTTTAGAGATTTTTTGTTGATTAGTGGATTTTTCCATGCGGACATAAGATTTTTTTCACATTACCAACCATCAAGCGACCTTCTATATAATTGAGCTTTGACATCTGATGAATATAATAGTTAAGTGTTGACTGAGAAGATTACCAAATTTTATGAATTTACTCATTTTAGCGAAGGTTCAACACCAACCAAAATAACTCAGATACCTCCCTTGGTGGACTAACAAACAAACATATTTATGTACATAATATTGTGCTAGACGAAGGCGGGTTTTACTAATGAAAGCTTTGGACACAATAGCGAAGCGAAATAACAGCGGATCTTCTAATATTCGTCTTCCCCTGCTCAACCGGTCGTACATATTTGTAATCTATTGATGTGCAACCGAAATACATTTTTTTATTGTAAAAATGTTTTCTTTCCTCTGAGGACCCACTTGCGAAAGGTACTTTTTCTTATATTGTTCGAATACGAGAAGTTAAATTTTGGGTAAAATACTAATAAGTAATGGAGTATGTGCGGAAGTGCCTTAAATTAGCGGTTTTTATTTTATTCATAGTTGTTGTACTATTATTGCTCTTGTAATCACTTTTCGAAATCATTCATTATTAAATGTACATATGTATATAAATATATTGATTAATTGATTAATTGAAAATATTATTGAATTATTCTAATAACGGTCGCCAACGGAAATGTCAACTTAAGTTCAAAAACAGCTAATAGTTGAGCAACTGACATTTCATAACATTATTTTGTACAAATTTTTGTGAATATGAACGTTTTAACGATTTCTGCTTGTTTAACACAACGAAATATTTGAAAAAGAGCATGAGGCCATTTTAGGAGATTACTCCAATCCTTTAGATATTCCAAAGGTATCAAGCCCAACGGTAACGTACGACGTTTCGTTCAGCTGGATAAATAAAACTTCAGCCGTTTTCATACTGACTCAGCAGACACAAGAAACCAATTTGCAAACAATTTATTGCGAACAACTTGAGATTTAGTATGTTTTTTTAATAAAATATAACAACAAAACTACAAAACGAAAACCAAATATCCTGCAATCGCACTATCACTCCATAAAAGTTTATGTTTAACACTTTCCACAAAAAGTAATCGTTTACTTTATATGTATAGTATATTAACTGTATACCTTAATTTTCCTAAATTTTGCGCTGACAACTTTAAAATCGGTCTGCAGTCCTGCAGTCGACCTGCTGGCGATCTCGATTTTTGGCGCATTTATCGTTACAATTTGGCGTTTCAAAACGAAAACGCAGCAGTGAAATTCAGCACGTAGCATCACGTTTTCGATGACAATTTCATGCAGCACATGATTGATATTCATGGAAAATGGGTCAGTCAACCTGAGGCCGTTAGAAGCGAAATTGACGTCATTGGACCAACATCGTCATAGTAATTACAGTGGGTGCAATCAAACATCAAAGGTGTGAGGTGCTACTTTTCGAAGAGTCATGCATTCAAATTATGTCCGAAAATTGTTTAAGCTGATTTAAGGCATCACATATTTACACATACACGTATGCACCTAATAGTATATAAATACGTAGATACGAAGCGGAAATTTAAAGTTTTGAAAGAAAACCCCGTAAAAAGAGTCAACTGAAGATAATAAGTAATACTGCTGCCTACTCCCTTTCGGATATCAAGGGGCTATTATCGAGTTATAATTACCAAAAGCTTCTATGCTAAGTAAGTATGCTGTTCCTTGTAGAACATGCATTGCAAACACCTCCTCGGTTTGCTTTGTGTTACAAAACAGCGTTCATGTAATCAAAATGGACGCCGAAATTACAAATTTTTTTATACTTTTGAAAAAATTAAATTATACGATTTAAGAAATAAAAAGGAGAAGATAAACGAGAGAAAACGTGTACTGACAATCAAACATAGACCCGGAAAACATCGCCTAACTTATGGAAGGACAGATTTCCGATTTCCGGATAAAATAGGCAATTTTCGAGTGATGTCGTCTATGATAAAATAATATCTTTTATCTCCCAAAGCAAGTCCTACATTTCTCAGCTGAATTTGAATGTGTAGTTTTATTTTCGCCGTGCGTCCACTTCTTTTCGCTGTCATAAAGATGAAAACAATTATTTTGTTTTTTTGTTTTAATTTGTTTTTCCTATTTTTCCAAATCTTCCAACGCGCAAATATATCTTAATGCATCAACTTTATTAGAGATTTTTTCTCAGGTCATTGTTCTGTTGAATTGTTTTTGGGTTTTTAATGGAACTGTTTCAGACAATATATTTTTGGAAATAGTGAAATATTACAACAATAGTTATTGTTTTGATGGCTTTTTCTTTTTTTCATTTTTAAGCTTTGCTCAAGAAATGACGGTTAGGAAGTCAGTCTTATTTAGAATAACTGCATTTTCAAATTCATCGAAACTTTCCCTTAGTTTAAGTCATCTACTCATTTATGAATGCACAGATTTCTTGTTTACTGACATAGCCACTCTCGTCTTTTCGCTGGAGAGGGAGTAGAGGTCTTCCTCTTTACCTGCTTCTACTAGTGGGTACTGCATGGAAAACTTTCAAAGGAAAAGCATTGATATCCATCCGTACATCCGAACTCGCCAGCGTAGCGGCCGCTGATGAAGCGTATATCTCGCACAGCACATCGTTCCCTTAGCTGCGATATTCACCATAAGCAATGGACAAAGGAGTATAAATCTTTAGCAAAACCTTTATTTCGAAAACTCATAACGCAGACGCATCGGATGTTGTCATCATCCATGCCTCCGCACCATATTGCAGTACGGAAATGATGAGTGACTTTTAGAGTTTGGTCTTGGTTCGTAGAGAGAGGACTCTACTTTTCAACAGTATAGAAACCACACGATAAATATTCACCCAGTCTCAAATCCCGTTCATTTCGAACGTCTCCCAGAGGTCCTTCCTAATTCTGGCTGTGCTTCTAACATTGTCTAGCGCCATTTTATATAGCCATATCAATTGTTTAAGGATACCGAATTCAAACAGAACGGCGTAGAGGCATCTTCTTTTCGTGCTGTCGAAGGAGGCTTTAAAATCGACGAAGAGGTGCGGTGTGTCCATCCTCTATTCATGGATAAAATAAAATTTCCAGGTCTAAAGCCACGCTGCCAAGGTTCAATCAGTTTGTTAACGGTGGGCTTTAGGGGTTCGCCTTAAGGTTGTGTGGTCTCCTTTTTTCTGTATTGGTCAGAGCGCACTAAGGTTTCCATCATACCAGCTGTTCTGTTGACCTTTCTGAAAACTAAAAGTTTTGCTCAGTTCTCCTTATACATTTTACGTCGAATCTTCCTTCGAAAGCAAGATAGTGGCTCGAGTCGATGTTGGATCCTTGGTATATCCAGAATACTGGAGTTATTTCGTTCGTCTATATGTATGTGAGTTTTTCCATCAGAGTAAAATCAGGTAATAGACAACCGTATTGCGGACCCCGGAGAAGGCGATATTTCGTCGGGGAGGCTTAATTTTACTACTTACCGTCATGAAAGTCCCCAAGCAGAAAATTGACATCGAGGGCGGGTTAACGCTCATAAGTACACTCCGGCGCTCATGCGGATCAGGGGAACAAACGCTACAATTAGACTAAGCGAACCGACTATGTGGGAGCGGGTCAACTGCAGCTTCCTCTCTTTTAGGCGTGACCCAAGGTTCCACACGGATTGTTCTAAAGCGCATAAAATAGCTACGTAATGTGGCTACCGATGTGGGGACAGTGAACACAAAGGTATGATTGTAAAACCGAAACATTAACCCAATCATTAATCTTCTCTGGCTTTTCGTAAAAAATTTTCGTGTTTTTTTGCATGACAATAGTGTGGCACAACTACTGAATAGAACGGCGACAGTGTAACACAATTTTATTGTTTGTAAAAAGCTTGATCCTTGCTAAGTAATAAGATTTTCGTCAATGTACTATGCTGCGTCCATGGTGGTGATGAAGAAAGCTCCTTTCTTCTACAAATTAAGAGAACCCGTTGATATAAAACTCTTAGTGATTCCATTGATTATAAATAGGGCTTGACCTTCTGTTGTGCTATTCGAGTTAAGCAAGCCGGTAATTAAGGGTTCCGAGAAAGCATATGTGCAGCAATCTGCCAGACTTTCTTTATTTTTCATCCAAACACATGATTATAATATTGATAGCATACCATCGTATTATTATTATTTAACTCCACTCGCAAGTGATACAGTGGCTTTTAAATCCAGTCAGTCAATTTGGCCCTGGTCTCACTTTCTTATAAGTTGGTTGGGTACAAGAACGCCTGATGGGTAGACAAGTAACAAAGTAAAAAGTAGTGTGCCAAAAAAGCGCTGGACTAATCCAGCTAAAAAGTTTTAGAGAATCGAGTTATAGCCAAGAAAACTGAGGAGCGTTCTCTTTGCCCGCTACTTTCCTTTGCGCTCCTAGTATATACAATTTATACGTCTTAAAATTATATAATTAACAAACTTTCTTTCTTCCATTTACATACATACATTTATACATGTAAATGCTGGTACACATTAATTATTTGAATATTGCAGGTAATAAAGAGGAAGTTCAGCGCTGTAATCCCTTCTTAAAGCGATAAGGAAACAGAGGCAGCAGCAAAAACAGCGCCAACGACAGCAGCAACGCTGCTACACAGATTATGGGCTGTGGACAAAGCAAAATCCATTTGTATCCCAGAAAATCAAAGAGCAAAGCAAATGGAAAGAAAGGAGGTCACGGTAAGTACTCGAGATATGAGTATGACTAGAAATTCAAATTATTACAGCATAACAAGAACAATAACAACATCGATATAAATTGACTTAAAAATATCTGTCTGACCGACTGTCTCTCGGCTTGTCCTATTTGGCACCTATTCATATTTGGCACACATACATGCATACAGGTTACATAATTATGACAACAACACTAAAATGAATTTGGCGAATATCCGACAACAAATTAAAGTTATTTTACAATAACATTATACTGTTAACGTCTTAACAGAGAAATTATAAAATCATACGTATTTTTCTTCATGCATATTTAATTATTTGCCTCCGTGAGTCTTTGACTCCTTGATTCACCAACACCATTCTCCCCATTAAGTATCTGCAAAATCGAAGCAATATCAACACCTGTCTTCACAATGCTCTTAAAAGTCCACAATAAAGATAGAGATGCGCTTCATACATATATAATATTCAGTAGAAGCGTTTTAGCGCGACAGATTGGTTAGAGAACGTACCCAAGCTACATCACCCATTTTTCACAACCCCACACACCTCTAGTTGCCACATAATAATTCTTTGCCACAGCAACAGGAGCATTTCGTGTTTCTCAAGACTCTCGAACAGGTCACATGCGAGAAATGGTATTTGTACCACCGTGTGTGCTTTTGCGATGATTAACTATGTGCTTTTAGCAATGGCAAAAACATAAAAGCCCTCCCGCACCAATTAGTGGGTCGGCGAAAGCTATTGTAGTTACCAGACTCCGTGGTTTCATCCCGCGTTAGCTCGCGGAAGAGAAGTTATATAGGGTAGCATAAGAGAGATATAAAAGAAAGAAAGCAAAAAAAAAGAGGCTTGCCCGGTCAGTGGATGTTGTTTCCAAACCTTCTTATCTTATTGAAGTATGTAATAAAGGTATTTGATGCAGATTGTTAAAAAAAAACTATCTTTTCTACGGCAACTTGTTGGTCTTCCTCTTAAGTTTGATGTTAAAAGGTTTTTTTCGTCATTTCGTCATGTTTCCACGTAAAAGTTGTTATTTCGAATACGTACAATGTCAATTCCCCGACTATACATCAGCTTTATACTAGTTGCATACTAATTCATTTAGGCATGATAAATTTCTACTTCACCAAATAAAGTTGAAATAAAATTAAATCGGCCAGTAGCGAGATTCGAAGTGATAACCTCTAATCACTCAACAATAATGATTATTTAGGGATCAAAGTCAAAGTCTTAGCAAATCCCGTAGAGCAAATGGCAATCGGCACGCCCCGGTCCTTCTCTTTAATATAAGTTCTTAGTCGAGACTTTCAGCTGACTTGAAGTCGGTACTGGTGGTCGACAAGTCTTTTCGCAATGGCAAGTGGAAAATGACCAAGGCACGATCTGAACCAGTTCAGGAGAAACTATAATAAGTGCAAAAGCCGTATGTGTTTATTCAAGGACAGTGGACGTCCTAATGAGTATATAATATTTCCCTTAACATATGAAATAGCGTGAAAATATTAGAATTTGCTTATCCAACCAATTCCTGAAGAAAATATGAAAGGTCAAAGCCAAAGGCCTAGCCTGTGGAAAAGTTAAAAAACGTAACCAGCAGTTTACAAACCAATCTACCAACCACATATTACGTTTTACGCCGCCTGAATCTAGTAACACCGCTTTGGGACCCTGCAAGACATTTATGCCCCATTTAAGGAGAGTATCGTAATGATTCTGAAGACCCTAGTACATCTGGAAGAAATCGCAAGACCCTCGAACTCGACTCAGAACCGCTGGTCGCCGACGTGGTGGCCAATTAGTTTCAGTACACACTAGCCATCACTTTGATGTCCAAAACACCTCATTTACGCCCCTCAGATCTCGAAGACACAGCCGGAAATTGATGAATTACAAAAACACACGCCATATTTTAAAATTCGATAAATACATACATATGTACATACATAAATTTGTATGTATTTTTTGCGCCTTTCCTTCTATTTTGACTATATCGCATATTTTCATTCATTTCACATAGCTGATTCAGATGCAGAAACGGACGAGGATGAAGGGCACATTGAGGATGCCGAGAAGTGTCAAAATCGGGAACGTGATAAAAATGATGAAAATGATGAACAAAGCAATAAGGATGCACAAGACAGCGATGAGGATGTCTCTGTGTCACTACTGCGAGCCAAAAATTTATCATTACTTCAAAGCCAGTAAGTTTTCCCAGTAGAAGCGATATTTATGTTTAGCGGTTTTTAATAATTGCATTTTTCTTCTATCAGGGAAATTTCCACCAGCCAACAGAACTTCTTCCGGATGCTCGATAAAAAAATTGAAGAGGTATCATTTTCATATGACAGAATGAATTTTTTTTAATGACATTTTTTTGTAGGGCCCTGATTACGATTCATCCAGCGAAACGGAGATCGCACTTGAGGAGGCACGACTGAATGCTTTGGTACAGCACTGGGAGTCAGCTAGTCTGACAGCCTCTATTTGCTCCTCCGCCAGCCGCTCGCTGCAAACGACACCGATTCGTCAGGCTCCTATGAAGCAAATGGCAACGCCCAGAGCCGTTCTCCAGCCATCGGTCGCTGTACCGGTACCACTAGCGATGCCAGTACAACAGACCGTGCTGGCAACAGACTTTCTAACGCATGGCTCATCACCGACGACGGGTCAGTTGTCGGCGGCAGCGATGGCGGCCGGCGGTGCGCTAAAGCATCAACAAGGTCCTCAACAAATCGTCATTTCGCACATGAATAGTAAAATGTTGCATCAAATGTCCGTTGTACCGCAAATGCCTATCAATATGCAGGCAGAAACTTCCACATCTTCCGCTAATACGTCCAACGCTATCGCACTAATGCAAGCGCCCAACCAAGCACAACAAGCGCAATATACACAACATTTACTTGCGGGCGGCTCTACACAATTACTCGGCAATATCAAGACAAACGTTAGCCCTAAACGCTACTTAGATGGCAGATTGCTTATGAATTCCAGTCCTCTTGCACAGCAAATGCATACCGTATCAACACCCCTGTCTAATGCATACATGAGCGGGCCAACGCAGTCAACGGCAATGGCTGTAGTATCAGCAGCGAGTTCTTATGCAAATGGAAACGCCAGCAGCGGTTGTACGTCACAACCTACTATGCCAATTCAATTGGCATATTTTGGACAACCTTCTCCACAGCAGCAATCACAACAACAATTTCAGCAGCAGCATCAAACGACTACTGCGGCGATGGCAATGGCCACTATGACAATGACTGCAACACCAAATGAGCCACAAACTCCGCAAGGCCAAAATCAGCCGTACTACGGTGACCAAATGCAAATGCACACGATGCAGGTACTTTCTCACATTATAACCTATAACTAAAAACCTAAGCCCGCTTTAGCCACCGAACACAATATTTTCACGTTTCACTTTATCCACTCATTTAATTTTATTTTAGTTATATATTATATTGTATTTTATTTATTGTATAAACATTCTGAATTCAAAACAAATTCCGTCTAACACCTGGTTCCAAGTCAAAACAAGACGATGATGCTTTGGTTCTTACGAAAAAAAACCCTAAAATAGAAATTCTGCAAAGGTGGTTAAAATATTAAAGAAATCGCATGTACATATAATAAAAGAGATTTTAATTGAAACACGAAGGGACTCACATTCCACAATTTGAAAAATTTATTTCCTATAATTTTGAACGTTAGTCTGGCCCCGGTGGGTACCCGCGTCTAGTAGTGCCAAACCACTATTACGGCCCAAGAGGAAATATAAAACTTTATATTTTTCAGGAAGTATTCATGCATTGTTATTAGTTAAAAAGTTAAATATTTAAGAAAAGTGTTTCTTAAGGCCAAAACTGAATAGTATTTCAAACTGTCATTAGCTCTGTACGGTGAAAAATGTCAGGAAAAATTAACCAGTAACGCAGTTGAGAAAGTAAAATGTTTTACTCTTGCAAATAGACAAATTTACTGAGTTTTCACCGAACAGGATTAAGAGAAAATTAAACAGCAAGTTGTATACCAGTTTACTGTTTGTTTAAGCCATAAAGATACTAATATGTTTTTTGATGGTCCTCTGAAAGAACGAAGATTTCTGTAAAACTTGCTACAATTTGTCGCTTAGATTTTCAGGACGGATAAATCGTACGTAAATTATAAAAAAATTGTAGACTAAAATTGGTATCGTAGGAAAGGTGACTATTTCTGCTGTATATATCTTCTTTGGAAAAAATCTAGTAACAAAAAAATACAATTTTTATTATTGAAAAATTAGTTTTTCTTAAAGTTTTATGTAATAAATATTTATGATCGATTTATATTAGTTGAAAAAACCATAAAATACCTTCAATCTCGTGTATATCAACACAAAAAAAGGAATCTCAACAACGATACCAAATTTATAAAACTTTTTGAAATATAGCATTTTATAATTGTCGAAATTTCCTCTATGAGGGCGCATACACGGTGTGTCCCAAAAATAGCCGAACTTTTTGGATATGAAATAAAAAACACATTATATTTTCTTTGAAAGTTATTATTTATTCAAAATACATCAATGGCTGGGATATCATCATAAAATGCTCCCTTCATCTTGGTTTTCAGTTGTGGAAATAAAGAATAGTCACACGGTGATAGATCAGGCGAATACGGAGGATGGTCGATGAGAGAAATCCCTTTTTTCATTAAAAATTCAGACCTTTCTTTTCCCCAAATCTTCAGTTAAAATTCTCCAAATAGTGTTTTTACTCGTATTCAATTCCTCAGCCAACATTCTCGTAGTAAAATTTGCATCGATACCAATGATTTCACGGACTTTTTCTACCAGTTCAGCACGATTACTAGTTTCTGGACGTCCTGCTCTAGGGTCGTCATTTAAGTCCTCACGACCACTTTTAAATCGTGTAAACCACGTATAAGCTTACGTACGACTTATACAATCATCACAATAAACCTTTTTCATTATTTTTTTTTTTCAATTTGACACAAAATTTTATATTTGCTCTCTGTTCCATTTAATTTTTGAACCATTAGCACACTTTTGGTTTTATTGAAATGGCTGTCACTTTTACATCTGTCATCCGACTTACATGATGTTAGGTGCGTTTGAAAGAGGATGAATGTATCTTTTTAATGTTGAAAATTTTCAATAGATGGCGCTGTAGGTTATATGATTTAAATATAAAGTTTGGTATTTTTAGGACACACCGTGTATCTACGAAATTAAAATTTTGCCCCAAAAAAATGTATATCATTAAACTCAGGGAGACAGGGCGGCCCACATCCACTTTTTTTATTTTGTTCTACCTTAACGGTCTGGATTCTGCACTTGTTCCAAAATAGGATATACTCGTATTCTAGTTCTATGCCTTCAACGTTACTAACTTCTCAATGCAGGCTGTTTGGTGCGCGGTTGATGATTTCACTTCACTGCCAGCAAGTCTTCGTGTGACCAAATCGTTGGTATTAATATGTTAATTTTAGCAAAATTGCATTCAATCACTTTTTTTGTTACTATATCATTCTTATTAAAATATTAATATTTAATTTTATTTTAAATAACTTTTGTTTTGTTGCCAAAAAATTAGTCAAATGTTTTCATACTTGCTGGTAGTTCTGTTCGGCGACTAGATGGGCAGTTAAAATTTTTTACTGAACTTTACTGAATTGAGTTCGTTAAGCTAAGAACCCAGTTAAATAAGTAACGAGAGAGCGCAAATTTGACGTTTGGTTTGGAAAGAAAATTGCAAATTCGTGCTGGGAAAATTTCAGCCGGTAAAAACTAGCAAGTATGATACAGCTGATTTCAAATCCAACTCTTACATTCATTTCGGAACGAGGCCAAGGGGGTTGTAATTGTTTGTCTCCCAAATTATATCTACCTTAACAGTTATCATACATCTTACATAATATTAAAAACGAAATGTGAATGTATCACTTATTTATTTTCAGCCGCCAACGGAATACAAATTCCCGCCGGCAATTAGCGTTCAACGCTTAGCGCCTCAAGTTCAGCGACAACTGCGCGAAACTCAAGAACTGATAAAGGACTCATGCCCACAATTATTCGCAGCAGGTTATGGCGGCAGTCCCGGACCACCGATACGAAACCAAGCCAAAAACTCAAACCGAAGACCCACCCTGGAGACCCAATTCTCACAGGAAAGCTCGTGATATCTATATAATTAAAAGAAAGAAACCCAGCGCCAAAGTTACTGTAGACGTTCGCTTCAGCAGAGTAGCCCATTATTCAGCGTCCTAAACTACATCAATGACAGACGTCCAAGTCCGGGGAAGTAATAATAGGGTAAACTGTGACGCAAACAGAAGATGACTCTCACATTCTCATGACGTTATTAATCCTATTCATAACCAAAAGCATTATTTATCAATAATAAAAATCACATGATTATGATTGAAAAATATATACATACATACATACATACATACATAGAATATATAAGAAAAAAGCTGAAAAAATATGTATGAAAACTATAACAAATAAATAAGAAAAAACTCGAGTACAATTCGAGCAAATTGATAAATATGAAATAAAAAAGGAATAAATATGTACACGCTGGAAGGCAACTTATTAAATAATGTAATTTTTAAAATATTTATTTTATGTATTGTATTGTACTTAGCGTTATTTTATTATACTTTTATTTGGTGTAACATAGTTTTTCTTATAATAAAACTGATTATGTTTAGAGCAAAACAAACATACAAACAACACACAAAATAATTACATTAAGAGTTTCACTCCTTCGCGAAATACAATATAAGAAATATCAAAATATTTGTGCCCCGAAAAGTTGCATTAGCTTTGGGTTGAGGCTGATCAACTTCGCCGTGGCCAGAAATATGGTTGTCTGAAGTACTAGTAGATTCCAGCATAAAAAAAATACATCAAGCTACATGGCTGTCCCCTGATCGAAGAACATAAAACTAGATCGATCATGTTGTGATAGGCGGATAGAACGACCCGGACCATTATCTTGTTGCTGCGAAGATACGCATGCTTCTTTGTGTATCGAAGAACGCCTGTCAACAAACACAAGGAGAGTTCGACATTGAAAAGCTGCAGTCACAGCAGACTGCCGAACGATATTATACTCGACTTGTGCTCCTGATCTCTGAGAGCACTCATCAGCAACACGGTATAAGGGACCCTCCTGCACAGCTGCAAACGAAACTATTGGATTTCGTAAAGGTCGCGTAAACAGCTGGTACGATGAGGACAGCCGTATCGCAGTGGAGAGAAAACAAACTTGCGATCGATCACAACACGTGCGGGACGGGATAGATACCGAGAGATGAAGAGGGAAGCACGACACATCTGCAAACCAAAAAAACCAGAGTATATTGAGAATCCGGAGATAGTGAGCCCGATGAACATGGAAAAGACCTTCCAATACCTGACCATGAAGAAGTTCGAACAGCAATCGCCGCTTAAAAAACAACAAAGCAGCGGGAGCTGACGGCCTATGGGAAGAACTATTCAAACATGGCGGTGAAGACCTGACAAGGTGCATGCATCAGCTACTTTGTAGAATGTTGTCGGACAAAAGCATGCCCGACAATTGGAATCTAAGTGCGCTCTGCACAATTTATAAATAGGAGACCCCTCAGTCTGCGCCAATTACCGTGGGATAAGTCTCCTGTCGAGCATATTGTCGGAAAGACTTAATCCCACCGTCAACCAACTGATTGGACCTTATCAGTGTTGATTCAGACCTGGTAAGTCAACCATTGACAGATATTCACCATGCGACCAGTCTTGGAAAAGACTCGTGAAAAGAGGATCGACACACATCACCTCTTTGTCAATTTCAAAGCCGCCTTCGACAGGAGAAAAAGGAGCTGCTTTTACGCCGCTGTATGGATCTCTTCGAGCCGTTCGATACCAAACTAGGTTTCGACAGGATGACTCTTTCTCGTGTGATTTCTTAAATTTGATGCTGGGGAGAATATTAAGAGCTGCAGAGCTTAATAGAGAAGGTACAACCTTCTATAAGAGTGTACAACTACTGGCGTGCGCCCATGATATTGACATTACCGGCCTCAACAACCGCGCCGTTAGTTCTGCTTTCTCGAGGCTTGATAAAGAAGCGAGGTGAACGGATCTGGTAGTGGTCGAGGGCAAGACGAAATATCTCCTGTCATCAAACAAATATTCATCGCATTCGCGACTTGGCTCCCACGTCATTTTGGACAGTCATAATTTTGAAGTCGTAGATAATTTCGTCTACCTGGGAACCAGCATTAACACCAATAATAATGTCAACCTTGAAATCGAACGCAGAATCACTCTTTCCAACAGGCGCTACTTTGGACTGAGTAGACAATTGAAAAGTAAAGACTTTCACTCCGTTGGAAAGAGCAGGTAGATAACGGCCTGGCTGTACTTGGTATTTCCAATTGGCGCCACACAGCAAAAAGAAGAAACGAATGGCGCATTGTTGTAAATCGGCTATAATCGCGTAAGCGGTGTCTACGCCAGTAAAGTAAGATTTTACATATATACATACACATATGTATATATATATATATATATATATATATCTTAATTCCTCCGACTGTATTTCTGACATGAAATAAAAGCTCCTCGTAGTAAAAAATCCGTTCGGAGGCGGCTTAGTATAAACTGACCACAAGTTGGAGGAGGAGATCGGCCGGGAATCGCTTCAGCGGCTACAAAGCGCCATTTATATTCGGAGGAATTAAGATTCTCTGCCGAGAGGTAACCGTAACTAGAAAATTTAACTTAATTTTTTATTTAAATAAATTTTTTACAACCTTTGGATGTTGCAATGCTAACCACTCGTCTACTGCGGCCACTATGAACATATACTTACATAAATACTTATTTCATAGTCACCTCTAAATATCACAGCTCCGCGGTAACGACTGTTTGTTTGGTGGCACAAGATATTTCTTCTTTCCCTCATTAGCTTCGTTTCGTTTCCTAGGATCGAGAAATCCCAAACCCTTCCGATAGCTGATACCAAATACGTTTTACTGAACTCAAGTTCTACTTCCCTCTCAAGATGCTGTCGCAGAGATCTCCCCCGTGGACAGCAACTAATTTAGATGACGCTGATGACATTATGTATTTAGGAATACACAACTAAGATTAAATCGTAAAATGTGGAGACCGGAAATCAAAATACAATTCTACTCTGTCCTGGACTTGCCGCCCGAGACCTGACCTAAACGAGGTTAGTTCGTGCGTAGAACCGGCTCTCTTGAGAGTTGGTCGCCCGTCACCGAAGAGGTGTTGGTTGTAACCATATTATTGCTACCGTTTGGCGGGTATACTTACCCTACATCATTATTCTCGCATAAAATATTCCCTGAAATTGCTTATATTTCTACCCAGCAATGCATAAAAATCAATGTGTTTGGGGCGTTAAGATATAATTTTGAATTTATTTGCCTTTATTTAAATTTTTTTGGGGAAACATGTATGTATTGTACATCCATTTAAAATCCAAGTAATACAATTTACTTCAATTATGTTATGTTATGTATTTACGATAATATTTATGTTAAGGATTTAGTAAGTGTAATTTCTAAAATGGATGAATGATTAAATGAAAAATGTAAATGTATGTGCAATCAAATAGAATGATCACAGCAGAATCTGAACCCAAATTCCCTTGTGTATGGTAAATTAGATATCATAGTTTATTAGAATTCAATAGATAACTCTTGGTACCTAATTTTGAAAATTGTTGGTATTTAGAGCTATTGATTGAAATGACACCAGAGCAACGAGATATAACGGTCTAACAAACTTAAAAATTACAGAAGCAATTAAAATAATCAAAATATTAAACTTGATATACAAAAATTGAGAATCTTGTTTAACGTGTTTAAAAGTTATGTCAAGTACAGTGTTGCAGGGTCATTCACTTTTAATAATCACCAGGCTATGTAATGTAATACTTGTAGCAATGTTCTTTGACATTACAACAACTACACTCAAAGAAATATAATTTAACCTAGTGAAATGCCATATGCAAAGTTAAACTAATTATGACGATAATATTATTTTTTAAATTAAGTATTTTCTTAATTCTGCACGGGCAAAGGAGGCGGAGGATAAGCAAACATATTGCCTGAGGGAACGGCATAATGAGCACCGCCAGCGGAATGATGATGGGAAGGAGGTGCATGTGAGTACATAGCAGACGCAGCACCCGGAGCAGCACTACCGCCAGCATGTGGAGCTCCTCGATGATTTGGTGGCGGTTGATGGTGTGCATTGTGGCCTTGGTGACTATTAGCATTCGCTCCATAGGGAACGCGAGGTGGCTGTTGTTGGTAAGACGACGATTGTTGCGGCGGAGGCTGCTGATGTGGATTAAAGCGCGGACGCTTATCAGCGCCTTCAGTTCCGACACCGGCATAAGGCTTATTTCCAGCGGCGTGCTGACTTCGGCCATAGCCACCTTGGGGAGGGGCCGCTGAGAAGCGCGAAGGCGGTCCACTCGGACGTTGATACATTTGACCTCCACTATTTGCCGGTTGTTGTGGGCGGTGTTGATATCCTTGTGCTCCACCGACACCACCAACACTGTTGTTACCATATGCACGATTACCTCGGTTGGCATAACCACCTCCCATATGACTACCACCACGACTTTGATAGCCACCGCGTGAATTTCGCTTGTTATTATAGCCTGACGACGAAGCCATTTCAACTAGACGTGGATTGATGACCTATGATGATTAATAAAGAGAATAAAACAAATTTTTCTAATTAATGAATTAAAAATTTAAGAGACACAAAATTATTTTTTACTAAATAAGAACAGATTTTTGAATTGAGCTGGGAATTAAAATATGAATATCAAATGAAAAGGAAAAATAGATAACCAATTGAAAAAGAAATTTTGAATGAATTACAAAAAAAATTATTACAGCTTCAAATCTAGCAGCGTACTTATGGTTTGAGTGTTAAAATTAATATATCTTATCTTTTCCCCTTCTTCGTGCGTATAAAGCTGAAGCTAAATGCTTTATAACTGCAAACAAAACTTTCGACCGAGCTTGTATGTTGTTTGCGTTTTAATATTTTTTTTTTTCAACTAATAAATCTCTACATCATATCATATCATATTTGTTAGAGGTCCATTACATTTCATATCAGGAATACACACCCTCCCGAGAGTTAGATAAAACATATTTTTATGTCATATTCAAATTAATCGATTTAAAACATTTTGTTTTTTATTTGATCAATAATAATAAAAATAAATAAAAAATATCTCACCTGATTAGCTTCGCGGAGCACTTGGATCAAGTCATTGGCTTTATTAGCGTTTGAAGTGGTGAACAAGGTGTATGCCGTTCCCGTATTGTTTGAACGCCCTGTACGCCCGATGCGATGCACATAGTCCTCCGAATTCGAAGGGTAATCGTAATTAATTACAAATTTTACATCGTCGACATCTGTTTGATTGTGAGTTTTTAAAGTATTGAACGATGAGCGTAGTTTGTGAGGTGTTTATTTGCGTTCGTACGATGCAAACGTCGAGAATTAAAAATATTCATTAAGTGGTGGCACAGATGCAAAGATATACAAGTGTACATTGTATCATAAAATATTGAACAAAAATTTCTCCAACATTGCAAATTTTAATTAATACCTTTTAATATTTTACATTTCAAGTGTAAAATTTACATTTGGAGTTTTGCATTACGTTTAAGTGGACCTCGACCTTTAGTGACTTTTAATGATTTTTTTTTGTTGTACTTTTTAAATTCTAGATATTCAAAAATTAAAATTTAATAAAGTGTGTAGGCAGTAAGTCATACACGAAGTTGGAAGCTTAATTCATATAGTATACTTAAAAGTCTAACAAAAATAAAATTTTTTTTGAATTTTCGCATGATTTTAATGAGTAAAAACAATGTACTTACCGAAATCCTGTACAGACCTGAATTGACAACAAATGGATGTGGGTCTCGCAAATTTAAGATTAAACAAAAAATCTCGGAATAGTTGATCAAGCAAACAAGCAAGCGCATTATGCAAGAATTAAATGTGAAAATTCTTTTAATTTAAAGCGCTTTTACCAAAAAGCTCCACCATCAAATATCCAGCTTGACTCCAGTGTGCACCTGCGCATTTGCTTTTATCTTTATTTGCTACTACCTCACTGCCCTTGGTTGTATGATTTACCTATGTACTACATATATATCCTAGCTTATTACTAATAGATACTAAAACTGAATTTAGCTTTTCTTTATGAAGTTTGATAGTATTTCTTCACTTCAAAAACAAACCTGAATATACAGATTTCGGTTATCATTCTGATACTATTGTATATATATTCACATTAAGCAAAATATTTAAGTTTTTAGTTTGTTTTTTACATATTCGGTATTGTAAAATAGAAAAAAATCGAAGTCCATTTGAGAAAACGAGGATGTTGATATTTTTGTTCACACATAAAATTTAAATAACAAGTGAAAAAAATGCAACTGCCAGTCAAAAAATATTTGGCCCAAACTCTGAACAATGTCGGTATTTCCAAAATAAAAATGCAGATTCTATGGCCCGCCGATAGAGATATTTAATAGACAACTAATTCAGTGAAATGTCTGCGCCATATATTATCATTTCGACACATAACCCATAGTGGAGTTAATTCACAGCAACATAGCCGATATAGGATTTTCGGCAATATAACAGAAGCCAGTGAAGTGAAGGTCTTAAAAAAATAATGGTTACCTAATTGCTTGATAACAAGTTTCCCACTGTATTATACAATATAACATCAAAAAATTTAATAAATACTGAATTCCAAATACTGGCGACAGGTTTCAACAATTAAATATCTCGGAAAGTATATTTGTATGTGTTTCAGACATTATCCTTCTATTCGTCTCCCTTTGTTTAAATATTCAGATTTTGTGGCCACAGTTTCCTTGACTGACACTAGTCTTTTTTACATATAAACATATATATACAAAATACATCATAATACAATAAGTGTGAACCGTAACCCGGCAGTAATGTATGGAAATACAAATTCCTCATTATTTACCCACACCTTTTTCAGTGAATCGTCCACAAAGTTGTAACATAGTTTTCACGATTTTTTTCTTAAATTTTAACTCAGAACATAAACCGTATTTAAAGTACTTATAATTACACCCCAACTTATATTTAAATGGACGCATTCAAAACAAATATTAAGGCGTTGGGTTTCGCTGATTCGCATTATGACAAAAAATCAATTCGCCAACGAACCAACAGAAAATAATGATAGAATATTCAGCATTTCGTCCACAGCATCACTCGCAGCTACGATCAAAAAAGTCAAGTTACCGCCGTAGCCGCAAATATTAAGCGACAGCGACAGGAGATATGCGGAAAATTAATCTTACCTAAGCCGCGTGCTGCTACATCTGTCGCCACCAAAATTGAGTGGCGGCCATTACGGAATGACGACAAAACAAAATCTCGCTCTTGTTGAGATTTGTCGCCATGAATGGCACATACGCGCCATCCACTACGTCCAATAATTCGGGTGATTTCATCAACGCGTTTTTTTGTCTCAACGAAGATGATAGTCTTAGTTTCCGACTCGGCAGAAATCTCAGACAAAAGCTTAATAAGCTTATTATCTTTCTCACTCTCTTCACATACATCTACTATTTGAAGTATATTGTGATTAGCTGACAACGTCAATGAGCCAATATTAATCTGAATATAGTTGTCGAGGAACTCTTCCGCCAAATTACGAACTTCTTTGGGCCAGGTGGCTGACCACATTAGTACTTGTCGATCTGGACGAATTTGCTTAATTATGCGGCGTATTTGTGGTTCAAAACCCATATCAAGCATACGATCAGCTTCGTCTAATACCAGATATGTACAACGACGCAAGTTGGTAACACCACGTTCTAAGAAGTCTAAGAGACGACCCGGCGTAGCAATAACGATTTCAACACCACGTTCCAAATCACGAGCTTGTGGTTGCTTCGGTGCGCCACCGAAAATACATGTATTTCGAACATGGGTTTGTGAACCAAAATCGTTAGCAACCTGCTGTATCTGTTGAGCCAATTCACGTGTCGGTGCCAAAATCAGAGCAATTGGTCCATCTCCACGTTCCAAACGAGCTTGATGACTAATGTGCACCACAGCTGGTAACACATATGCAAGCGTCTTACCTGAGCCAGTTTGTGCAACACCGACCATATCCCGTCCACTTAGAGCGATCGGCCAACCCTGAGCTTGTATAGCAGTTGGCTTAGCAAACCCCATTTTCTTAATTTCTGATAATACATGCTCGGGAAAACCCGGCTCACTAAACTCAATATTCGGCGAAGGAATGCCATCGCCTTTTAAAGTAACTTCATTTGTGGTCAGATACCCATCAACATCTGTTTTCGAACGTTGAGCGACGGTCGTACTTGGTTGATAGAAATTTTTTTGGAATGGTGTTAGCTTTATTTCAGACCAAATTATGGTAGGCAGGCGATCTCCAGGCGTGCCAGTGTTATTCCCGCCGTCCATTCGACGATCATTGAAACCGGAACGCGGAGGTCCACCGCGAAAAGGAGCACCGCTCCCACCAGCACCACCGCGTGCATAGGGTGCAGGACGAGGACGTGCAAGAGCATTACCACGCATCGGACCCCCACGTTGCTGGTCACGATAGCCGCCACTACCGCCGCCCATACCGCCCATTCCACCCATTCCAGAAGCACCGCGATCACCGTTACGTCTATCAAACCTGTATAAGAATGAAAGGAAGTATTTTATATTAATTATCAAATGGAATAATTCATAGTATTTATAAACTATTTAAGACTAAGAAGAAGAAGAAATTACTTACGCAAACATTCCTCAGGAGTGAACATTCAATTAATCGTCTTCATCCGCAGAGGTAATATCGGATTAGGGGTTCAAGAAATTGCAAAAATGTAGAATCGATTTCTCGATTAATAAAAAATGGTGTACTGAACGAGACTATTTCGCACTAAGTGCTCCAATTCGCATTTCATCCACTATCAATCGAATGGTAATAGTGTTCTTTACTACTCCTAAATTCCCAAAAACAAATCCCGCAGGGCAATTACTCAATAATTTTCGGGGTGTTCTTGAAGGGATATGATTATGGTGTAAAGAAAGCTTTAGACAACAGAATTCTTCTTTGCTTGCAATGTTTCTGATACAACAATCCAAACACATACAGAGATATGAAACTCCTATTAAGTAAAAAAACCGTTTATTTCCAAAACTGAATTTCTTCGCAGTAGCGACTAAAAGTTTTTTAATTTCGAACAAGATATTACTACTCAACGCAACAAAATTTCTACTAAAAATATCTTAGACATCTTCAAAATATTTTGGCATCAAGGTGGTTATTCCCTAACCTTCGATTGCTCCAACCAACTGAGCTGGCAGCTCTTTGAAATACTCAAAATCATATGTGCTAAAACAACACAAGCTAGAAAATATTTTATCCAAAACATAATTTTTCATGGTGCAATTGGACTTCAGTTCATATCATTATACAAAAAAAGGTAGGTAGTTTCACTCAATACAAATAGACAGAAAAGGATTTTTTGACATTATAACTTATTTTCATTTTAACTTCCAGATATTAGGTTCGTTTATTGAGACAGAAAACAGAGTAATGCAGAGTAAGTTAGAGTAGAAAAAAGCAGCTGTCAAAAAACTGAAGAGCAAGTTAGAGCAACTCGGATCAGAAGTCTCATGAAACACTTTCTAGGTAGAAGTTTTCAAAACAACTGAATGTTTGAATTTTCATTTGACAAATTTGAAATGTTTTAGATATACGGATTTGTGTACATATACGGTTTTTGCAAAATAAAAATTTGATAAATATATTATCACCGCAATCATGGAAGGATATCTAGATTCTTCAGACTCAAATAATTCGCTTTAATCCTCATTAGAAAATGAGAGCTCCAAAGCTAGTGAGGACGATGATTTGACTGTACCTGACGCTTCGAGGAATAAAAGATATTGTAATTCCAAAGTACACAGATGAAGAGTTTATGATGCATTTTCGGGTGAGGAGAGACGTATTTGAAAAGCTTAGTAATAAATTTCAAAGTTCAGAAGAGTTCCAAAAGCTGGATGAAATTAAAATGTATAGTGCCAAAATACATTTAGCATTATATCTTTAGAAGCTTAATTCGAGATGTTGGAGATCGTTTTAACGTATCTATTGGAACTGCAAACCGAATTATTTCAAGGGTTATTTTCTTTATAAGCCTGATGTCTAATATTAATTTAAAATAGAGAAAATAATAACTTCAGAATTGTCCAGTTTAGACTTTCCACTCAACATTTTTTTCAATTTCAATTTTTTAATAAAAAAAAAAACTTAGCAGACAAACCTGTCAAAACAATTATTTTGCTTGTTCTATGTTACTCTATAAAAAAAAATCAGAGCAAAAAATCATGCTCCAAGTTGCTCTATTTCTGCTTAGAGCAGACTCATGAAGCCAAGAGTATAGCAAGTGATAGCAAAAAAAATTTTGTGAGATAGAGTAACCTAGCGTAACCTAGAGCAGCTCAATAAACAAACCTATTGCCACTTAAAAAATATTTCGCATATATTTTTTTATAAAAAAAAATGCTAGGCCGCCTGAAATGTTTTATTTCCAGTTTTCTGAGCGAAAAAAGCGAAAATTGTTTGTACGTTATATTTTTCTTTCATTTTTTTTTGTTTACATTGAAAGGCTTTGAATTTTTTGCACTGTTTTTTTTTTTTTTAAATTTTATAAAGCTAAAAATTTATTTGTTATTTATGAAACTATCTTGTTTTTAGTATCTTGGACGCAGATAGTTCAAGTTTGCGGGTTGCCGAAAAATTTTAAATTAATTTGCATAATTTTTATAAATCAGCGTAATATCTTTACTACAAAACTCAAAAGCCTTGCATGGTTTTTTTTTAATTAATAACAATTACAATTGAAGCTTTCTGAATAGGTTTATGTCGAACAAATATATTTTTAACTTGTGAAAATTAATAATATTTTTTAACAAAAATTTCTATAGCGAGCTCTAACTCTTACTTTTGTTATCATACGATACGAATGGAAAGAGTAAATAATTTCAAAAACGTGTCAAATCATATAATTTCTAAAGGAAAATACAGTACTTTTAAAAATGTTAATGACATTTTAGCAAGTTCAAAAAAAAAAAAGGTTGGGCTGAAAACAAACGGAGGGACCTACTGTTTATACTAAGCCCGAACGGCTGAAGGTAATTTTAAGAGCTTTCTGTCAGGATAAGAAATACACTCGGAGTGGTTGACATTCCCTACCGAAGGGAGACAGCAATTAAAAAATTTAACTTGATTTTTTTTTAAATAATTTTCTTTAACTTTTGAATGTTGGGGGCACTATGTAGTGAAAGCGAAATCGTTGGAAAATAGCAAAATCGATAGAAATACTGCGATAAACGTATATAACAACATTGATTTAAATGTATTACAATTTTTTTTGTATTCACAAGATAAATAGCTCTTGCTATTTGGGTACGTTCTCTGTAATTGTTTAGTTATTAGTGTACAAGATAATTTTACCATACCACACTGTACTTGTACAATAACAGGCACCACTAATAAACGGACATATCTTTTACGCGGGCACTTTTTAAAGCCTCTTCAACTATTTTCCATACAAATTCACCTCTGATAAACGGCCGCTTCAATTGAACGGCAACAAATATTGTCCCGTCGGTGCCCGCCTATGGATAATTTCACTATATATATACATATATAAATGTGTATGCGTATATAGAAATAGGTTTGATAGTGCTATTATTATCGATAATAAATGTGTAATTAAATAATTTGGAAAACATAACTTCTAAAAAAAAAATTCCACAATTTGACTGATCTGACAACTTATTTTGAGGCTCCTGATTAAGAACCAGATTCAACAAATAAATACAAATCTTTATATAAAAAAAAATATTTCACTGAAGGGTTAATGAGATCAAAATTAAGCTTATTTTCAATGTAGAGACAAGGAGTGTCAGGTAATTGAAAATGTATTGAAAAATATTTCTTCCAATGCATGTGCCATTTACTATAAAGTTGTAATAAAACAAATAAGAAATAAGCTTGCGGCGAAAAATTAGTGAGTTCAGAAATTTGTTGATGTACAGCGCTAAATGTGCACTATCTTTCTAGTTTTTATATTACCTTTCCTGGAAATATAAAATTATTAAAAAATTGGTTAATTATTCAGGATAGCGGCTTTTCAAAAACTTTCCAAAAGCGATGGGATTTTTGGCTAAAAAGTTGTACTAAAAATTATACCAAAATATTAAATTGTCAATAAAAATCATTATCAAATTACTCGCTATATATGTGCATATAACCTTTAATTGGTTTACTGCAAGCGAATTCAGATGAATGTGGTTAAAAAAAAAATACGGTATCCTTACTTTGTCAAAATAAAACAAAAAATTAAAATTGTTTTTTGCGATTGTTATCACCTGTGCCGAGTACGTGCTGAACCAAAATTTTACATGTACAGAAATTTTCAAGAATAAGCATTCAATAAAATGTATCTTCACTAATTTTTTTTCACTCGTAATTTTAGCAAACTAAAGCTGTCAAATTTACTTGGATTTGATTTATTAAAGAATTTTACATCTTTTTTTTTATTATCTAGAGAAATGTATAATATAAATCGATGAGTCATCATACAAGCCACAATCGAGCTTTGGTCAAATAAATCTAAACGACTTAAGCAACATAAATAAGGATAAATTATATTATTTTTTTAACAATCAAGGTTGACTTGATTTGCAACAAAACGAATTTTACGTGGCAAATCAGCTAAATGCGAACATAACCTCATATATTGGCCATAAGTTGGTATTTCTAATGATTTCTACTAAGGGTTCATTACCGGACCCATCAGTATTGTTTTAATATGCGAACATAAAATGACTTCCACAGTAGCTTCAAATTCGTGGAATGAAATCGATGGAGAAAAAAAACTTTTTCGACTTCCTCTTGAAGTCTCGAAGTCCTCCAATCTTCCTTTGCACATTGCACTTTTGCGCATTAATGAATAGATACATGTACATGTTCAAACTGCTGTATACGTAACTTATTGATTTTTTTTTTTTAATAATTAAGAGACGAAATAATTTTACTACACCATAATTAAATCATTGCTGTCATATTTCTAACTGAATCTGTACTCACATATCTAAGTTTTGGTGTTATAATCAGCAATAAAACTGGAAAATACTTGTAAATCCTCTAATGGAAATTTTTTCACTTCTTTTCACAGAGAATTAAATTGCCGAATGAATTTTGTCGGAATTAGAGATGTGTTCGTTAAGATGATAATAAGAACTTGTTATCGCTCAAAATGGTTAGTCTAAGGTTACATGAGCATACTTTTGTCGCTGATTGTCGTAATTTTCTTTTTCATATCGCCCATTACGTTCACACAGAGACACGTTGCTCAAGCAATTATTTTGACATTTTTCTTTTCTTGTTTTTCTCTAATACTCTTTATTTTACAGTCGTAATTCTTCGTTCGCTTCGCGCTATTTAATATTGTAACGAACTCGGCTCTCCGATCTGTAGCTTGGCTTCCACTCAGCCGGATTATGGGTCTCTCCTATAAATTTTGATCTCCCGAAAGCACAAAGTGAAACACAGCACGAGAGGTTCTACTTTATACAATCAGTTCAGTTGAATTGAAGCGGCTGCTGGCCAAATCCTCAACACACTTAGGATACCGCTGAGGCTCCTGCCTTCACCTTCTCAAATGATCGAACCATTTCGTGTGCCTTATATAGGCAACGAGATTTCCAATGCCCACTGAGACCAATTTTAGCACGTACTTAGCCGCGAATAGAGGTAAACACGCATCATGTGCGTGTTTTATCGTAGATAGAAGGGTTTCTTCTCTTGTGAGTTCGTCTTCAATGCAACTGTCTGGGGTGTCCCTGTGTCCAGATACCCAGACTGCGGCAGTACTGTACTGATTTGAAAGTTTGTTGAGAGTGTTTCTACAGTTTATGGCCACTTTTGACGTGGTACCGTTACATTGAAGAGATCTGATTGCAGCTCGACTATCAGAGTAGATTGTTACTGATTGCCCTGCTACCGTAGATTTGTGCAACCAACCTCGGTCTTCATGATTGCGAAAAGGTCAGCCTGGAAAAAGCTGCAGTGACCCGCTATTCTCATGCTCATGCTTACTAAAAGCACGGCAGAATAAATTCCGCAACCCACCCTCCCATCGAACTTCGATCCGTTTGTGAAGATGGCTGTAGCTCCTTGGTCCGGGCGTTGGTGCTTTCCCACTCGTATCTGTTTGGGATTCTTGATAAGAAAAGATTTTCGAAGCATACACTGGAGGTGGTGTAGTCCAGCTCCTTCGGCATTTCTGTAACAGATAATATTTTCGTATGTCCTTTACTGCAGTTCTTTCAAGGTTGAGTTACATAGGTCCAGAGGAAGGAGGTTGAGAAGAGTTAGCAGTGCTTTCAAGGGAGTTGATGGCAAAGCTCCCGTTATCACGATCGACGCCGATCGTTGAACACTTACCTGAAGGTGATTTTTTCGAGTGCAGGCTACCAGACGTTGACCCCATAGACTACGATTGGTCTAACTTCCGATGTGTATATCCAATGCGCGATAATCGGTCTTAACCCCCATCTCTTTTCTCTCGCTGTTTTGCCGGCGTAGAGTGCAGTTATAGCTTTCCTTGATCATTCTGCCGCGTTCCGGCTCCAGTTTAGTTTGCTATCTAGGATTATCTCAAAGTATTATTATTTTGGGTTGTTCAAAGGCATGCGGTTTGTACCTCCTGGTAAATAGCACCAACTCGGTTTTATCAGGGTTCACTTCCAGCCCTGTATCAACAGACTTACTCTTGGAGTAAGCAAGTTGCTTCCCCGATAGGCTTTTTGTTTCCGGATTATATAGCTGTCCAGAAGCCTTTCCAAGATTTTTAAGATAAAAGAGGTGAGGCTGATTGGTCGAAAATCCCTTGGATTGACATGGGTGGTTCCTCCTCCTTTTGGGATAAAAATAACTTTGGTCCTTGTCCATGCTTGCAGAATGTATCCTTTGCGTAGGCAGGCTTTGTAAATTTTACATAGAAATGGGGATAAGATGTCCTCCACCCCCTGTAGTTCAGCGGGAAAGATTCCATCTAGTCCTTTAGATTTGTAAGGTTGGAAAGACCTTATCGCCCATTACACCGTTTTATGGCAAACAATGCTGCTGAACATCATGGAACCGATCACTTCCTTTCCGTAAGGTTTGGTCGTGTCCGGTGGAATATCCCGGAAAGTGGGCGTTCAGGAGGATATTCAGCATTTCTTCACAAGATGTCGTCCATTAACCATTTGGTTTCTGGATGTAATTTGGGCTTGCAGAGCTCTTGCAGAGGATTTTTCAAAGTCTATCGTCTTCCGCATTTTCTTCAATTTCACCGCAGAAAGCCTTCCAAGATTCTCGCTTTGCCTTCCTTACACAGGTTTTAAAAGATTTTAAGCAAGCTTTATAAGATTACCAGGAGCCCGTTCTTTTGGCTTCATTAAACTACAGACATTTGTTTCAAAGTCCAGTGCATCGTCAATTTGCGAATTTCCAGTATTCCTGTTCGCAGCAATCAATGGAGTTCTTATGGTGAGACTAAAAGATATATATATATGGTCAAAGAAGGAAGGCTCATTGACTACGTGCCAATTTCTGATCTGGACAGAAAATGAGCTCGAAATTAAAGTAGAAGCAGAACCTTCTCATGCTTCGTCTTCTTTATCGCTTCGTGTAGACGGGTCGCTGGCAGAATTTTGTCGTGAGCGAAGTATAACGAGAGGATTATCACTCGCTTCTCTCCCAGTTTTACCTCGATGCTGACCGGTTCCGCGTCGCTGTGGTGAGAAAGAAGAAAATAAGAAAAGTTTTTCCTAACCTGAATACAAGCCCTAGGCCTACCTTTTCCTGATGATACCCTTTTATAAGTATCAGAACCAAGTCCACATTTTCTGTCACCCACTATCCATGGTTCCTGGACCAGAACTAAGTCCTCTACTTCCTCGCAGAGGCGCAGAATGCCTTGGAGTGGTGCAGAGAGATTGTGAAGTCCATGGTACTGACCTCCTCTGCCTCAGGGCAGTCACCTTTCTTGTAGACATTTAGCGTGATGGAGTAGAAGCCGAATCTCACAAAGCGCTGCTTCTCCTTGACCTCGCTAACTTGGGATATCCTCCAATCAGTAGTGGGTAGCTCCTCATTGCCAAGTTGGATGAGAGATCTCGTCCCTATGCACTGCCTCAAGTCTGCCCCAGGCCAGAGCTCTCCGACCTCCGCGATAGCCTCTTTATAGAGTTTTACCGCGCTATTGTCAGCGCACCCCACAAGTTTTATGTGGCCTTTGTGCCACCCTGCCTCGCGCACTACAGGTTCAAAGCCAGATATCTTTGTAATATCCCTTTGTACACAATACATAGACCCATCAGTACAAATTTCCAGTTATATGGAGAAATGTACCCGTCCGGGTGCCTCCTAACTACAAGCCCTAGAGTGAAATACTCCTTGGCGACCTCGCTAAGAGCCTTGCAGTTTGGGCTGTTTGCTTTTGATGTGGTGCTGTGGGTCTGGGCCTCTTGGATCCACTCGAGGTGTTTTCCTGAGACCTAGGCATTTTTGTTGTAGAGACGGGTTTCTCTCTTCCTGAACCTGCCGTTCGCCTCTCACTTGCAGCGGGAATGCCTAACGCGCATTTCACTCTGGCTTTCTGCACCTCCGTCAGTGTATCGGCCAGGACGGCGCAAAGCTTCTCCACTATCTTTTGAGCCGCTTTCCTATCCTGATGAGCCCTAACGGAGGGCTTGAGGGTGTTGGAGCAGCAAGGGCGTTGATCTGGGTCTCTTGCCCTCGCTGCTTCAGCCGGTTGAGCGGATCTCAAGGGGTTTGAGCTGGTTGCCTTACCCGGGTAGGGTTTTTCTTTTCCCTGATCGGGCCTGTTAAGACGGGCTACCCGGGTCCCTCTAGGGGCGTACACTTTTTACCAGAAAGTGGGGGTTGCATTCCCTCAAGGGGTTTACTTCTGGCCCTTATGGGTTCCGAAGGCCGAAGAGATCTTGATGCAGAAAGGTCCCGTGGATGCAGTTCTCGAGGAGTTTTGGGTCGTTTTGCTAAGCCGTGTCTAACGGCTGCATTTCTACCCGTGCAGGGATCCAAGGGATCTGGTTCGTTAGTCACCTACTGAACCGAGACCTTTCGGTGACCGGAAAAATGGAAAGGGAAATTAAAACGGTCGACTACGGCAGAGTCCTTTGCCGCAGAAAGTCTCCGTTACCCCCGGAGGTGGACCGGTGTCCGGTAGTCTCCGTTCGAATACAGTCGCATGCCGCTGACTGCAAGCCATCCAATGAGCGCAGAAACTCATGACACCCTGGATTAGGGGGGAAGGATATGTTCGACCTCCTCCAGGCTTAGATCCGTAGTGTTTAGTTGGTCTAACAGGGCCACCTCTAGAAGGATGCGATTTCTCATTGCGCACTAACAGTCTTGGTACGAGAGAGGCTAGTTGCTGCTCAGTTGGCAGCTGTATTCCGCTTCAACGTACCCTGCACTTAGCTTAACCCTTTCTTTACACAATTATCTTTATTCCTTTAATCTTCTACTGATAGCGTTTTCACGTCCCACCGTATACTTTGTCCTACTTGACGGCTCGCTATGCTAGTGCTTGGTGATTCCCTAGCTTAATTGTTATATGTGTATATGTATATTTAGATATGTTTATATGTATATATATATATATATATTTAATTATTTCTATGCATTGCGTATATATGTGTTTCATGTAACATGTATTTATGTATTTGTAATTATATATATATATATATATGCGTATATAACTTGTTTTGTAGTTGTTGTTCCTGTGGAGGCTCCAAGGGCTTGGACTTTACAATATTTCTAAAATAAAAACACTCTGCTGGTGTAAAGGAAGACACGGCTTTTATTTATCTACTTCTTTTATATATTTTTACATTTGATTATAAGTAAATTTTATTACTCTTTTCAAAATGTAATAGAATTACTTTTCTTTTCCTTTTCACTATCTGAGTTAATCTCAGCGGCTTCTTCACTACTCTCTAATATTTCTTGCATTAGTTGAACTTTATCTGGGTGTTTTTCCATTGGAATTTTTACAAAGCGCGAAGCGAACGAAAAATTGCGAGTGTAAAATAAAGCGGAATAGAGAACGAAGAAATAAAGAAGAAACAAATGTCAAAAAGATTGCTTGAAGAAAGTGTCTCTGTGTGCACGTGAAGGGCGGCACAAAAAAAGAAAA